ACCTGCATAAAAAGCATATACTTGCGAGTATGAGTCTCTAACATTCCACACGAAAAATTGATGTGGCAAGTAGATCAATTTTTCATCAGATAAATTCATGAGTCTCAACATTTCACAAGTGATATACTTGCGAGTAGATAAATTTTCAATCAGTGGATATGGTTATCAATTATGACATCACAAAAACATTCTAAAGGTAAGACTCACTATTTTGAACTAGTGGCTTGATGTTATTAATTTACATCAAAGTGAACCATTTATCTAATTTTTGGGTCTTAATATATTAAAAATTCAACATCAACACAAGCACCAACAAATTTCAATTTGTTTTCATTTCTTTTTATTCCTTTTTGTTCAACCCAATCAACTTCCTTGAGAAATAAAACAAAAGGTAAAGAGAGAAAGAGAGAGTTCCCATCCCAGCTCAACTTCGCCTTTGGAAACTAGGCACTGGAAATAGAGATAGACTTGGTGAATATTGATAGACTTGGTGGCTCTGAAAACTAAGTAATAAGATAAATTTGTTAAGTAATTTTATCATGCTCAGGTTTTTTTTTGCTTCACAAGCTATACAATAAGGATAGAATAATCGCCCAAAATTAAAAACAACTGAGAGCGAGATTGAGATAGAAAGACACAGATGTTACACTTTTATTTTAAGAATTACAACTTGATATGTATACTCTTAACTGGAAGATTGAAAACCATGCTATAACCAAAACTGAAGAGAACAATAATGTCACAGAATGGGGAGGAAAAGAAGGAAAAGAACATACTTCCCAACTTCACCAAGTATACTCTTAAGGTTCTCCACTTAATGATCCTCAGGTAGGTTCTCTACCAAAACAATGCACTATAATGCACAAATTAGATGCTTGAAGTTTCCAAAAAATAATACTTAAAAAAATTTTAAATCAAGTTCGAAAGGATACCTTTGGATCCCTGTTTTCAGTTAATGGAAGGGATGAATCCGTTACACCTTCCCATTCAAACTCACAACCTACAAGAAAGAGATTTATGCTTATCTTTAGCATATTTGCCATTCAACTTGCACTTAATTCTATAAAAGAGAACAAACTTAGAACATTACAAGGAGGGAAGACTCCCTCAATGCAGTCACTATTGACAAATTGTTTCAGACAAGCTTTTTCATTTTTCTAAAAGAAGCAACAACTGAAATTGGAACTGCAAAAAGAAATGCCAATAGTTAGTGAAAATTGTTAATATGACAGTGTGAAGAAAAGGAGATTTCTAAGTGCTGCACAAGAAGCAATATTGTTATAGATAAAAAAAAAAAAAAAAGAATAACTAGAACTTACTAATCTAAAAGATTCAAGATTGGGAGCTTCAACTTTAACTGTAATATCAGTTACCTTGTTGATGTGATATAAACTAGCACTCAAATTAAACCCTCTTATTGACAATTGTAGTAAAGATGTAAGTAGGGATCGCTATAGGCTGGGGATTAGGAGGGATTGCTAATCTATTTAAAACTGACTCAAAAACACAAAACTAGGTTTAAAAACACTTAACTAGACTCTAAAGACTCAAAACAAACTAGAATGACTCAAAACAGCACAAAACAATGAAACTAACTCAAACTAGACAATAGAGATTCATTTGAACGAATTCTAACTTTAACTTGACTCAAAATACTAAAAGACATAAAATTGGACATATTCTAACTAAAAGACACGACCAAGTAAAGGGGGATTGGGTTTTGGATGAAATTAAAGTAAAAACAAGTAGATTGTAAACTTAAACAAAGTTTGGATGGAATTGGGTGAATTAGTGGATGATGGGTTAGCCAGAGGGTCCTTCTCCACACATTACACATATGCACACGAATTGATTTCCGGTTACTCTTTTAATAAACCATGAATGACAATGCCCCAGATTAACCATGTCATCACTAATTAACCCTCAGATTTTCCTTAAGTCATTGAATTGGACGGACAACGCATCAGCAACCAAATTATTCTTCCCAAGTTCCCTAATGAACTGCATAATAGAGACACAAGCAAAGATCATTAAGCTCTGTGAAAATCATAAGCATTGATAAGGCATTCGTAACTATGACATCATGATACTCATGCCAGGAATTTAACTTAACACGATCGTGACCAGCGACCTTCACTACTTGTGAATATAAGTTGGTAACGATTATGTGAAACTCCCTTATATCCTAGCATCAAATTCATGCATGCAAACTAAGTAGGCCTCCTTAATCAACATACAAGAATAAGTTCTGAATCAAACAGTTAAGTAAATTGCATTCACAATTCACAAAATTATAACTGGAAATAACCAACTCATATTGCATATATAATCATGGTTTCAAAGTCTCCTCTAGCTAAAATGAGTTTAGCTCCTCATGTTCACAGCCAAACAAATATCAATAAACTTAAACATTGAGAACAAAAGATGGATTACACCTAAGAATGTTCCAGCAATCCAAACTTGAATGACAAACACGTCCAAGGGTCATCCTTCTTCTTCTTTGTTGCGGCAAAGGCATTTATTTATAGGGGAAGGAAAGGGCATGGCTGAGAATTAGTTTGGGAAGAGTTTAAGACTCCAAATCCTCCAAGAAAAGGGTAACAAATCAGAATCCCAAGAGGAAAAGGGTAAGTGAGGTGCGGCAAGGAAAAAGGGAAAGGGTTTCTAGAGGGCATTGGTGCGGCATCCCTTTGTGGCTAGGATTAGGTCTTCTAGAACCTAACATTAAGTGTCCTAATATATTTGGGAACCCTCCTTTCAGCTGAAACTTAGTTGGATTAGGTTTAGGAAAGTGCTGGAACAAAATAAGGTAACTTGACTAATGTTTCCTCTTTTCTTGCTAAGCTCCTTATCTTCTTGAAATGAATTCTTCTTTCTCTTTAACACATTCCTAGCCTCTTTAGTCTTCAATTTCGTCCATCCACCTTGCTCCAAGCATATGCTATCCATTCCAAGCCCAAAAATGCTCCAAAAGGCACCAAAATGCACTTTCTTGCTACTTTAGCCCTTTGGACCTACAAACACACGAAAATAGCTTAAAATACTAAAATAACTAGGAACTAATAACATAAATACAAGAAAACAAGTTAACTAAGTCGCATAAATATGCTCCTATCACTTGTGGTTAAGGAGAAAATCACCCTGTTCACCTTAGTGTTTTTAGAAGAACCATGTTCACCTTAGTTTCACCCGCACCATTCCAAGGCTTCCATTCTTCTACCCAGGTTGGAAAAAACCTTGGTTAACCTTCTTTGTCCCCAATCTTCGACATTCATAGAGAAAATGGAATTAAAATTTGAAATCTAGAATCGATCCAAAAACTAAAAGTTTTTATTTTGAGAAATCACTTGCAGTAGGGGAGGAGTTGAACTTTTGTGAAGGGGAGAGAGGTTAATTGTTTTTTTATTTGTTTTATTGGTGCCCAATAAATTCTATTGGTGACCCATTTAATCACAAATGCACAAGAAATTATTTTTTAAGAAATAAAGCTATTTAACAACCACCAATCATTGGTGTCACAATGTTGAAGGCCACCCATATCAGTGGCATCCCATTGTAAAGACACCAAAAAATAGTAAGAGTGAGTGCTTTATATCTAGGGACACTTTAGATGCGGTCTCTATCTATCAATATTCTTTGATTGAAACCTTATTAATTTTTAGTTTTTGATTGAGGTCCCTGACATTAATGTAATAATGTAAGTTACTATATTTTTTTTTTAAATTAAAAATTAAAAATTGAAATTTGTAATTGTTTATATTAATCAGATTTTAAATAAAACCCATAGTTTATGGGATTAAAAATAATAAGATAATATAAATTATACTCTCTATTATATTGTGTGTGTGTGTGTGTACATATATGTATGGGTACATTAACCAAAATTAACAAAAAAAGTTATTGTACCAAAACATGGATACATTCTCAAATCAACCAAAAAGAATGTACCCATATAAGTTTAAACATGGATTAAAAAATTTGAATGGATTTTATATTAAAAAAGGGTACATTTTACATATAACAAATTGATATATTTGAGAATGGGTACATTTAAGATTAAAAAAATTGAAAAATTATATGAATGGGTACATTTAAGATTAAAAAATTGAGAATCTTTTTATATATAAAAAAAACTAATAGGTACAAACTTAATTTAATTTAATTTTTTATTATTTTGGAAATGTTTGAATTGAAAATTAATTAGAAGTTTAATAGAGGTGTGAGTATTAAACCCTAAATTAATTACTAATTTTTATATTAAAAAAAATTATATAATAAACATGTAAATTCATTATCACATTAATACCAGGGACTTGAATCAAAATTTGAAAACTAATAAGGTCTTAATCAATGAACAGTAAAAACTAGGGACCGGATACTAATTTTTCCTTATATCTATGGCCACCAATTGCAAATGGTGTGCAAAAAATGGTGTCCTATAAGCATAATTCTAGTAGTGTATGTATACAAATATGTGTAAGTATATTAATGTCCCTACGTCGTAGATGTTGGCTTGTTTATATAAGGAGCGAGTCTCTATATGTTTCTGTCAGTTTATATGAAGTTTGAAGTTGAAATTGAAATGCACAGAATTGAAGCTTTGAAATTTGTTGATTTTAGTATAATAAAGTTTTTAGTGATCAAATTGGATCTGAGTCAATTGAGGAAGAAAGATATTTACATTACATGTTCAATTCGTCCGTCATATTGCCAGCACTGATACATGAATGAGGTTTGGGATATTTAGGTTAGCATTTTAAAGCTTTCACTAGAAAACATGAGAAAACCTCAAAGTTTTCTTGGTTGATAATTCTTAAGATAACAAACTTCATAATTAGACAAATCTGTACATAGAACAAAAAATCAAGAGCCTTGAGCCAATAAAGACTGAGAAGGTTGTATCAAGAATAATTTTAATTGGAGGCTTCGTTGTTAAATTCAGACCTAATCATTAATCGAGGAGTGGTGGGAACGACAGAACCTGCGAATGCAAAAGATTCTATTGAAAACTAACCGCTTTATTATACCTCCAAACCTTGGAAGCCCTGGGAGTCCAAATAGGACTAGAATTCCACAATTAACAAAATACAGAAATCATCCTTAAGACTTAAAACCCTAACAGAACAGTGTAAAGGATAAAATTTGGCAGAAAAAGCCTATATATCACCGGGAAACAGTGAGTTTGATGCACATCCTGAGCTCATAACAGACACCAGAGCCCAAATCTATGAAGCTTAATTTGTTCCTGCTGCCGGATTTGCATTTTTTTTTTTTACTTGATGTTCAATCCATCGTACCATCGGATCTACATCAATTTGGTCTTAACTGATTAGACACCAAACCCTCCCTTATTACTTACGCTAACCCTAACAGTTCTACAAGACCAAAATTTTAGTGTTGTTGAGTAAACACCACTGCTATGGGGGTAGTAACATTGTGCTTATCAGAAACCCATCTCAAATAACCCTGACCAAATGGTACATCATCCTTCCCAGCCCCATCTTCTGCGATAAATTCAACATGGTATGTAATCTCCTGATTAACCTTTGTGAATGTAAGCACCTGAGGATTCACACTCATCCCCATTTTATGTGGTACTAAAAGATCCAAGCTGTAAGTTGAACTAGCCGGACCAACATTCCTCACAGTCCTTGTATAATACTGAGATTGAGTCTCATTTGAACCTATTGTAATAGCAAATGAAGGATAATTAAGCTGTGCTTCTGGTATGGCTCCGGCTTGAGAGCAGTTCACTACTCGTTGGGTGATCATCTTTATCTGTGTTTCATTGTGATATAAACCACACAAGTAAGGAATGTAATCCTCAGGTTTTATGTCAAAGATGAGCCCTGGGTCATTTGCCCTTGCAGGATTGACATGGCCTGCACCAAGAGTAAAAATGTCTGCAGGTTGAAGTTGTTGATCAACAATGGGGGAGCCTGCGAGGTTCAGTACATTAGCTGTTGTCATAATGGCAGATTTAATAGCAGCCGGAGACCAATCAGGGTGTGATTTCTTGAGTAGAGCTCCAATGCCACTTAGGTGAGGAGTTGCCATTGAGGTACCCGAAATTATGTTAAATGTTGCCTTGGGATTAGGAAGTGTGGCATTGTCCACTGATTCAGGCCATGCTGCTAGGATGTCAACACCCGGTCCAATGATATCTGGCTTTAGAATTCCGGGGCTAGCAATGCTTGGTCCTCTTGAAGAAAAGAAAGCAACCTTGGGAGCAAGTGCATCTCCAATTACAGTGTTGTATATGTTGAGCTTCTCACCTTCCAATCTTAGTATTCTGTCAGTGGTGCTTGCTCCCACTGTGAGAATCCATGGGGCCTCATTTGACAAAGACTCGTAGGAAGGACCAGAATTTCCAGCTGCACAGCTGAAAAAAATTCCTTTTTGAATTGCTGCAAATGCACCAATTGCAAGCACATCATTGTAGAAAGGAAGTGATTCACCACCAAGTGAGAGGGAGAGTACATCCACGCCATCTTCAACAGCGACATCAAGAGCAGCTAAAATGTCACCATCAGCACAACCAGTTTCAGTGCAGACTTTGTACATTGCCAAGTGAGCATAAGGTGCCATTCCAACAGCTGTACCATTGGCCTCTCCGAACACGCTGGCTCCTTGCACAAAATTTCCAGCAGCAGTGCTAGAAGTATGGGTACCATGGCCGTGATTATCAAATGGAGTTCCTGTAATATGCCCTTCTTCTGCACCTATGAAATTTCGTGCACCAATAAGCTTGTTGTTGCAGACTGTGCCATTGAATTCGCACTTGCCTTTCCATTTAGCAGGAGGAGGGGATACTCCTTCGTCGCTGAATGAAGGATGATCAGGTCCAATTCCTGTATCCAAAAGTCCTATGATCACACCTTCACCGTAGTTTGTTTGTTTCCATAGTCCGAATCCTTGGTGTAATCCCAAGAAGTCAGGACTATGAGTGGTTTGCAAAGGTAGAATTCTCTCCTCGCGAGCTGACACGAACCCTTCTTTGTTTTTCATTGCTTTCACTTCTTCTGGTGTCAGTTTTGCTGCAAAGCCAGTTACCACTTTGCGGTATGCATGAACGATTCTCGAACTTGTCTCTTGGTTTGAGCTTTGAGCTGTTTCAGGCAAAAATGACTGATACCAACTCTCCAAATCCAATTGATCAGAAAACTTCTGTGAAACTGGCTTTTCTACGAAAACAATATAAGTTTGCATGCCATTTTTCTCTTGTGCAACTGCTACTGACAAAAAAAACATGAATGTAAAACCGAGAAGGTATAACATGCATTGCGGCTCCTCTTTTGTTCTCCATCTTTATTATGGCTAAGATGAACTTGGAGGTGCTAGTTCTGTGTGTCATAGCTAATCTAATACCATTTCAGCACCTATTTATAGTAGATAAACATGATTATTGGAGATAACCTTGCGGTTTAATCGATGTTTTTTGCCAGCTTTTCTTGTTGATCATTCTGATTTTTAGAATTAAATTGTGAAGGTTGATTTGTTGTGCTTTCGTTAGGAAACTTGGCAGAAATTCAGGACATAGTAATGCTCACTTGTGGCGATGGACCTTATGTCTTTCTCCTTACACTTTGTATTGCATGCGCAGAAATAAGGGTTAAATCGGTTCGTGAGTTGTTTTCTTGTGTCAGTGACCGGTATACTGCTGGATTATGGCTCAATTCTGATTGGCCTTTTGTTTTGTCTACAGTCCAATGATTGGTTGTTTAATAGCCCACAATGGGCTAGGGTTTAATTTGACAACATGATATAAGGCATTCTTTATGCCTTTTGGTTTGGGCGGCAGCAGATGAGAGAAAAAGGAGCTGTCGGCAGATAGCTCCAATTAAGGAGAAAAAGGAGCTGCTGGTCCCCCTTTGTTAGTAACTCGGTCAAAGATATTGGTGCTACGTTTTGTGGCTTTTGGGAGAGACGAGATTTGGTATGTGTTTTCATCTTTTCTGTTTGTTCTTTGTATGAGTGAGAGTTATTGGGTGTATGTAAATTTTGGGATTTGAGAGTTAAATTTTATTTGTAATCTCCAATTCGATATTAGTGGAATTTCCTCACCGTCTTTGAACTAGATGTAGGTTTAAGCCGAACCAATATAAATCCTTGGGTCATTTGTCTGGTCATATTTTTCTGTATGAGTTTATTGGTTTCATATTTGACGCTTCCACTCAACATATAACTAGACCAGTTATGCAGTATTGCTTAAGAATTAAATTAACAAGTTGATTAGGGGAAGGTTTTGTTACGACTTAGGAGTTAGAACTACCGTGTATTTTCTCTTGTTTACAAAGATGAAGCAATACAAATTTAATTGACAAAACATAAACGATAATAACGAACCAATTATTCATTTAATGATTCTTCTCTTTGCTTCTCAATGATGTTAGAAGAGGTTCTAAGTTTGAATAAGCGCTCTCCGTTGATGAAAAAAATATAATAGGCAAAGTACATAAGCGCTCTCCGGTATAGGATCACTGGGTCACAATCGAAATGGAGCTTCAATCCATCTCCCCTCTCTCTCCCTCTCTTTCCTTCTTCGACACGTGACTAATCCCACAGCTCCCTTTTTCTCTCAGACAAAACATACCCAGTGAACAAAAAAATTACGGAGCTTCAATCCAGCTCCCCTCTCTCTGCCTCTCTTTCCCTCTTTGACATGTGACTAATCCCACAGCTCCCCCATTCTCTCTGACAAAACATACCCAGTGAACAAAAAAAACAAAAAAAATTAAAAAGTTTAGAATTACACCGGGTGACAATATAGCACGGTTCTACACGTGAGTTGGTCAAATCACGACCGTTGGATTCCGGTCTGCATGCAATTGGTCTAAAGGCAAGGTCCGCACCGCCCTAAAACTAATTGGTAATGTGGAGAGTAGCCCAACTTCCTATTAGCTCTTGCAAGGTTTCTACTTTCACCGATGTGAGACTCTTTTACCTTCACATCCTCACATTTTTGTGCTTGAGATGTATATGGAAGAAATGAGAGATGAATGGTGGAGGGAAGAAATAAGGAAAATAAGAAAAACAAAATCTTGAAAGTAGAAACAACTTAATACAATTAGTTTTCATTTGTCTTTTGTTCTACACCTCTTCCGATATCTTTCATCCACTCTTCATCCCGTTATCACTAACACAAAAAGTGAAAGCCAAAAAACAAAATCGAAATTGGTTATGAAGTGTGCCCTAATGAAATTGCACATGTGAGGCACATGATGATTAGTGGAATCATCACAAACACTACTACATAAAACAGTTTTGGCGACGAAATTGAAATCGTCGTGTAAACCAGAATTTCGCCGTCTAAAATGATACACGACGAAAACTTTGTCATCCGTAGTTTGTCGCGCAAGGCTCGTAAAGAAAAGTATTGCGCGACGAAGAGCCGTTGTCCCAAAAACAGTTTTGCACAACGAAAATAGAGTTCGTCGCATTAACAGAATAGGGACGAAGCCCAATCTTCGCATAGACATTAACGCGCAACGAAACAAAACTTGTCGCATGAAGTTTAAAGGGACAAAGGAGTTCATGGCGCGAGAAAATAGCAACAAAGGAAAGATTAGTCGCATAAAGTTTTAAGGGAACAAGCTTTCCTTATCGCAAGATTTACCTCTATCGTCACACATTTTAATGGGGACAACGAAATTTTTCGTCGCATAAACCATTTTTTAATTTTTTTTAGGAAAAATTGTTTACAAACTGAATATTAAACAAAATAATTTTGTTTGGTTAAATTTAATTAGGAACAATAATTAATAAAGAAGGAAATTAATTAAAAATAAATATGTAAATGTACATACAAGCGGAATTAAAAAAAAAAAGTACAAATGTTTAATTAAAAAACAAAACTCCAATAGAAAGTCATCAGAGTCAGCTACGCTATCAGCTGTGCTGGGTCAAGAGCCTGGGAGGTCGCAGGTGTAGTAAAATGAGGTGTAGCAATGAGGATGTTGAAGCCAGACATTTGAAACGCAATGATCATCTGGGCCATCCTAGACTCCTGGGCAGCAATATGAGCATTTTGAGTGGCGACACCCGAGGGTGACGTATGCCATTTAATGAATCCAGAGGCTGAGAACATGTAAATCATGAGTATAAATTTCTTTCGAACTACATAAAATAATATACTCATTCAACTGCCAACAATAATAAAGATAGTGATAGTGCATGACATGTTCAGAGCATACATCTAATTCGGAATACAACGGAATGTGCTATTACAATGATGTCAAAGCAGAGATGAATGCACGATATCACTGGTAGAGGAATGCCTCGTAGCTCGGATTGTAAGTCTCATTCCTATGTCCTGAGGGGGAACAAAACAAACATGAGTGGACCAAGTTATATATATATATATATATATATATATATAAATAATACTGAAACAGTTATTCAACATACTAATCCCCAAAATTTTATGAAGACTAATAGCATAATAGGTGATAGATTTGCCGAAAACCCTAGCATGCCATAAAACCTTTCATAAAACATATCTCGTATATAATGTGTTAACTAGTGGTATCAGTATCATCTATATGCACAGAACAGTGCCCTACACACACTCGCCTGAAGGCAATATAAGTGTCATCTCCCATACGCACAGAACAGTGCCCTACATACGCCCGTTATATAAGTATCATCTCCCATATGCATATAATAGTGCCCTGCACATGCCCGCCCGAAGTCTATATACGTATCATCGCTCGTAGGTAGAACAGTGACCACTAGATAAGCACAAAACGTTGAATATAATCTTTCCAACATATATACTACTGTTGACCCTAAAAACTACCAAGTCTACGTGGCGCGCAAACCGAGTAACTAATGAGCTAACTACGTCTTTCAGTTATGTGCTGGGCGTGCTAACTCGTCCACCGAGCTCGGCCGGAGAGTAGAATATGTTGCATGCGTTGGGCACGCTGCTGACTTTTAAATCTTGCAACTGCGACCAAGGAAGGAAGACGTCTCGGCCTTCAGCTTCTAGAGCCTGAAGACAAGGCAGTTAGTTCTGCGAAGTTCACAAATCGTCGACGCCGAATTCGGTCATAGTGATTATATTCGTAAAAGTATAAGAACGTCGAATCGACACCAAACTATATGGGCACAAGTACTTAAAGCAAATGTGCGTCTTAATCGTAAATGTACTTTGACCGTCAGAATGTCGAACTCTAAATCCCACTTGTGAGTACCCAATCATAAAATAGCTCGGCGTTCGATGCGCCGAGCCAGTAACACGTAACACCTCACCTCGCCGAGAAGGATAATGAGATTACCTCTGCCAATAAGGATTCAAAAATCCTTCTCGATCGAGACTTGGATAGATAATCAGTCGGCCTCGACACAGTATTGTTTATCCAAACTGAAGATACTTCACGGTCGGCTGATGCTACGGCAACAATGTTGTTTATCCAAACTGAAGGTGTTCACCGGTTGCCTTTTTAGTGATGTTTATCCAAACTGAAGATGTGTTGGTGAAAAAGAAATAAAAATCTCAAGGTTGTTGAGAGGTTTCGCGTAGAGCGAGAGTTTGCGCAGGGCAGTTTGTGTGTTGAGTTAGAGGACCCAAGAATTATGCACCATTTCTTATTTATAGCAGCCAATCTCATCATGGCCGAACCAGGACTATACTCGGATTAGGATTCTTTATCCTAATCTGACCAAGTCTCGGGCAATCCTACCTCCACTAGGACCCTGAACCAAACTCTTTATCCGGCCACATTCATTTCTCAAATCCCAACATCCTCATTCCAATAGGACTCCTTATCATACTAGGACTCGACCCATTCGCTCTTATCCAGATCAATCCTTCTTGCAATAGGACTCGGTCGACCTGACTAGGCAGCCCATAGTATTCTTGGAAAAGCTTTGGACCGAACATAAACGTTCGTTCGGCCCAATAATATTATTTTGGGCCCAAACAACTACAAAGAAATGTAAAAACATGTTCATAAATAGTATATAGTCATTCATCATATATACTACAAAGAACATAAGTTCAATAAAGTATGGTATTCCAAAATAGTCTCAGTAAAGCATGATAATCATAATAAGTAAAATCTAATTTACTCATAAAATGTTTCGTAAAACGTAACCATTAAATCATGTTTTTTATGTATGTATTTCTACTATTAAAACATGCATTTTATAAGGGGTCCACTCACAGATACTCCGTCATCGAAGAGCCGTATGAAATAGGAAGGACAAAATCGCCCCTAATAATTGCACCTAAGCACATAAAGGGTCTAATTAACAAAACTATACTCAAACGATTGAATTTCAAAAAACGAACGTCATAAACGGATTCAGGACGTCGAAAAACATAGAGGGGGACCTTGG